AGTCTGCAAAGCCTCAAGTCTGGCAGAATCAGAATCCTTCACTTTTGGAAGAACAAAAGGTTGGATTTTGTTTGTGCTGTTTATTCACACTCGGGCAGAATAAACACTGACCATTGGAACTGCTCTCACAGCGCAAAGAGGGAGCAGGACCGAGGGGCAGACTGTACAGGGATACGGCAGTTTGCAGGCAAGATCCAGGAAAAAAACCAACACTAAATGGATTTTAAGAAAACTTGCCTCTTCTGAAGCTTTAAAGGCAATTTTTTAAGACTCTGCCTTTTCCAAAAGGTCAAACTGATGGGGAGAGGTCATGGTCCTGCAGCCAAAAGAACCAAGTGTTGCACTGCTACAAGGCAGCTTCTGTCTGCCCCGCACGCGAGGTGGCTTCAGCCAAAGCTCTCTGAGTGTATCAGCCTGGATCAAAGAGCTGGGAATAAGCAGCCTTTCAACTACTTCTACACTCCCCATCCCAACATCCGTGCTTTTAAATAAATATTACTTCTTTAAGAGGAGGAAAACAAATCAAAAGATTGGCCACGGCTGCCACACAAATCAGAGATGCCTTTCACACACCGGTTACTGAGTTTTCTCCCGTATTTAGGAGTTCTACAAGAGAAACAGTTCCCTCCTTACCTCCTCATCACTACCAGGTTAGAGGCAGGGCCAGAAAGGAAGAAGCAGCGACTAGTACTGCCAGTTAGATCCAGTTAATGGGAGAACTGTGCTGCCACCGCATTTTGAAGAACCTTAAAAGTAACGCTCTCCGCTGCCGGATTCCCTCATCCACGTTTCCATAAACGAAACCCGCAGTACCGTGCTAATATAAATCCTCACGATGCTACCGGGTTACAAGAGCAGAGAGAATGTCCTGAAACTGTAGATTAACAAAGTATTTGACTACTAGAAGAAATCAAAATGAAATTATTAACGAACTAGCCGACACGCTAGCACTCCATTGCACGCCTTTTTCATTTGACTCCCGCAGTGACCAGCCCATGAAGCTCTAAGGGCTACGCTTGGCCGTGTCAACACTTTAAAAACTGCTGAACTCCTTGCACCGCATTTTTTTTCTCTATCTGCCGAGTCAAGTCTTTGCCATTAGATAACAAAAATAAATAATAAAGTTATTCAGGCCTGGAAAAGAAGGAATGCTCCTCATCTATCAGCTTCGCCTAGTTTCCTAACAGACCCCAATCATTCAGACCCAGAGCAAATAATTTAAGAAAAGCAGCAAACACTCCCAGTCACTCATATACATAAATATATACACAGGATCACTTTACAAAGCCTGGAGGTTTGCACTACCAGCATGCAAATCTCTTTTTTTTTTTTTTCTCTCCATGAGAGTTCCTAATACTGACATAGGAAACTGGAATGTGTGAACTACTCCACAACATAGCGCTGGAAATTGAGTCTCAGCTCTTCAGCCATCCCGCTGCCAGCGCGCACAAACGAACATCATCGTGCCTGACGCTCGCGTGTAACGTCCCGGCGTCACACGCACCGACGCGTCACTTGCGTGACGGCCCATTACGAAACCAAAAAAAGAAGAGGTTGGTAGAAACCCCAGCCCGCAGGTCTGAGTTCAGGCTCGTTCCTCTTACTGCCATGAAGTCACACCATTAGTTTGGGTGAGAAGCAGCTCCGCCGGGAGAGAGCCGGCCTGGCGGCTCACGTGTCCCAGCCGCTGTCTTTAAAAGCTATGTTGACTAATCGCAGCTCCAGCTCAAAAGCGTCGGGTCGGTCCTGCGGGTTGGCAGCCAGCATTTCCTTGATCAGCTGTTTCATTTGAGCGTTCATGGATTTTTTCTTTACGGGGATGAGCAGTTCCATTTTAGGGTTTTCTAGAAGCGCCTCTCCAACGGGCACAATCGCCGTCCCTTGCTTGACGTAACTCCCCAGGAGTTCTTTCTTTGTCTCCGTATCAACGAACGTGATTCTTTCCAACATCGCCCAGATGATAATTCCCAACGCGAAGATGTCCGCTTTGGCAGTGTAGTGTCCTTCCCAGACTTCAGGGGCCATGTAGAAGTCAGTCCCACAAGCGGTTGATAGAAAACACTTATTTACGTTGACCGGCTCCTCTGGATTCTGTCCCGAGGCTGAACACACTTTACTCAGCCCAAAATCAGCTACTTTCAGGGTAGGCTCTGAGTCACTGGCATCCAGCCTGCTCTGAGATATCAGAATATTGTCAGGTTTGAGATCGCGATGAATAATTTGGTTTTTGTGCAGGAACGCCAGCGCACTGCTAAGCTGAAGCATGAAGCTGGTGTTGGTCTTGCGGTTCGGCTTTCGGGACAACAGGTACTCGTTCATGTCTCCTCCATCACAGAAATCCATGACAAACCAGAGGTAATAAGCACTTCTGGGGTCAAAAACTACTTCTCCTTTTAATGAGGTCTCTACAAGCTGCAATAAGGAAAAGAAACGTCATAACTACCTGACGAGCGCAGGAACATAAGGATGGGAAAACGTATGAAGTTTGGATCTTCCTCTTGACAATCCGGAGAGCAAGATATTGCAACCGGTGAGAATATGATGCAGACTTTATGATGCATATAAAAATAAAATTTAAAAAAAAAAAAAAAAATCACAATGTATTTGACAGCCTCCTTATTTTGGTGTGTGCGAAGCATATCGGGTTCACGCTGCTGCCCAGGAGCTAGAGCTAGGCCCAGATAAGAGCATTCGGAAAGATACCGAGTGGCCACCGCACTCCCATCTGTTCCAGCTGGACAGCGTCCCACCCCAACAAAGCTCGTCCCACCCAGTTCGCTAACAACCTCGCTGGACAAACACAGCCTCGATCAATAACCCCGGACAGTGCCCAGGGGGTTGTATCTGGCACCACGAGAGATTTTTGAACCCTTTTCTCCCTTCCTCACGCACGAATGGACTCCAGTAAGCATTAGCGTGGGATCCCTTCGCTCCGGGCGACGCTAATCCGCAGCGACTGCACATAACACCTTTCCCACCAGCACGGTCCACTCGGTATTTTCTAGAATGTGAGTGGCAAGTAGCTCGAGCACTCAGTTCTAACAGCTGCTTCATACGAAAAAGCAAAGTAAAACCAGCAATCTGTCTTACTAACCCTGTTAACACAACTACACATTTGCCCCTTCGGCTCCTCTGAGGTGGTTCTTGGCACACTCTGCAGGGTAAGTCTTGCAGTTATTGCTGTTAGTAGTAAGCCAACACGCACTAAACCAAATGCAGCTCATACAGGCTTTCAAAAACTAAGAGAGGCTTTAAGAAAAGTGACTTTTTCGATCCAAGAGCAAAATTCCTAGCAATTTACACCCATCTTTAATTGCTAGCACAACTAGTACTCAAAGTGGACCAACGTGAAATGGTAAATCCATTTCAGAACTAAAAAAACAGACAACAAACAAACCATATTTAGGGTTTGCAGTCAGCAAAAGGGAGATTAAGGTATCTCAGCTCAGCAGGGAGTCTCCTTGGCCAAGCAAGCACCAGCACACACCTCTCCCCTCTGCGCAGCTTCACAGAACCTGCACGGGAAAGCAAAACCCACCACCAGGACTGCCGGGGGGTCAAAACACTGTGAGACCAGGCTCGTTTTGGCCTCTCTGAGTTGGGCTGACACCAGTTAAGCATCCGCCCCAAAACCCCTCAGGAGACACGAGTACCCCCCTCGCAGTCCCCTCGCGTGCTGCGCCCACCCAGCTTGGAGGTAACATTGCAGAGGGGGAAGAGAGGGCGAGCCAAGGGAGGGCTGGTTTTCTGTGTTTCAGCACAATTATGACGCCATCCCAGCTTTTTCGGGGTCAGCTCAGCTCTGCCCTTGGCTCGTCTCTGCGCGCCGGAGCAGGAAAACCATTCGCAGGGCTCGCACCTGACGCGGGGAAGATCCTCTCCTCATGGTTAGCAGGCAATACCATCAAAACCCAGCGCTGCAGGGGGTGGTCTGGGAGCTCTCCCCCACCTTGCAGTTCCATCCTGCTTTTCTGCCCTTTTTTTTTTTTTTAAAGCTCTTCCCTGTACATCTGTCCAGGAGTTTGATGCAGGATCTCCCAAATCCACTAACAACTAGGAAGGTAAAGCGCTAATTTCTCCCACACGAGCCAGTCGCTATTATTTTACGCTAATCCCTTCATGAAAGCACGTCAGTAACAACTACCAAGCTACATCGAGTTTACAAAGGCGAGAATCCTATTTCTCAGGCTTGCGCAGCGCTCGGCACAACGGGACCTGGATATCTGTGAAGGGTTGTCAGATGAATGTTCACTGACAACAGGTCCTACGTTAGACACGGAAGAATGACAACAATAAACTGAAACGATAAAAGCTGACCAGGGATAAGACAATAAACACTGAGCAGGCTGCTGTCTTTTTAAACCAGGGACACAAATTCCTGCCAGGGGACAATCTGTAAGTTGGGGCAGCTTCTTGAATGAGATTCTCTTTCCGAGTCTTTCCAGTGCTACTTAAGTCTTCAAAAATACGCATCTTCAAAGTTAAAGGCGGCTGAAAGGACACTTCCAGTACTCACGTAGGAGAAGCGATAGTTATCCCCTTATTTACCACACCTTTAACTCTCTTTGAAGAGATTAATCCTCATTTATTCAAAACAGAAAATGGCTCACCGCCTTGCTTATTACTTCTGGTAGAATTTTAAGTGTTGGCTTCCTAAACTGAGACGGTTACTTCCTCTTCCAAGGGCATCCGAGATTAAGAAACTCTTCAGAGCTCTGTCCCAAGACATTAGTACGTGTCTGCTCGTTAACCCTGCGGGAGGGCTTCTACCAAGTAACACAACAGCCTGCACCTCCCTGTTGCTTTACCTGTGGCGTTTCCTCAAATCATCCAAGCAGATTTGCATAAAAAAAATAAATTACCCTGGAGTCTTTTAGAGTGGTATGGCTTCATAGGACACGATACAGGTGACTGTTCACAGATACACTCTTTTAAAGACATATAATAATTTATGAGTGTCGAGAAAGCAAACTAACTAACCACACCTCCAAAAAAAAGCGATCGTAGCTACCCGCCTCCTTCCCTCCCAGCTACACGTCCACGTTAATTACTTCCAACCCCGTTACCTCAGCTTCAAGTACCTGTAAATAAAGGGAGGAACTGGAGCCATGGGACATCTTCTGCGCCATACCATCTTTCTGCAAGATGCACTCCTCCAGGTGAATGACGTTGGGATGCTGGCTCTTGATACTGCTAAGTGCCCAGAACTCACGCAGAGCTAGTTCCACGTTCTCTGGAGCATGGCACCGAATCTTTTTCACCGCGACCCGGGCAGAGGTCTTCCTGACGACTGCTTCGTACACCACACCATAACTGCCACGACCAACCTCCCGTATTAGATCGTACTTAGGCTGGCTACTCACCATCTTCAAGACCAAAGGTTCTGGGGAAGGGGGAAAAACCCACAGAACTAAAACTTAAGAACACGAACCGGGCTGTATTTTCCCCCATGTGGCTTGGGGCAGCAGGATGAGGCCGACCGAAACCCTGCAATTAACAGGGCAGCGCCTCCGAGCGTGACGCCGAACGCAACGCCGTGCTCGAGCGCTAGAACGTTCCAGACACTAGTCTGCAAACCCGCACCTGTTGCCACGGACTATGTCAAAAGGGAAATTACATCCTTTTGGCGGGACTATTAAGATTTCAAATACAGCCCAGTTCTCAAGGTGGCAACAATTCAAACCTAGACTTGCACTGCGCCGAGACAGGACTATGGCGTATGCTCCTGCTCCTTTCTCTCAGCGTCTTCTGCGAGCATCTGCGGGAATAATAGTAGGGTGTCATGCTCTCCATCCCTGTCTGGGAGAGCAGAGCAGAGGTTCTAGCTGAAGCCTGTGGCTGGGCAGTAAAAGGTTTAATTAACACTGCCCTTTACAGAGGTGACTGCATAAGTGAATGTTTCTGTTATCATTTAATCATGAAATTCTTTTACATCCGAGAGGATGCTTCGGATCGCTTCCGATTTTATTTTATTTTTTTTAACATTACTTTGGTTTTTCACCTACTGTCCTCTGAATGAGGAGGTTTCGAAAAAAGTTTAAGCGGGTAACTGATTGCAGAAGCTTGTACCCAGCATCTAACTTTCACTTTTGCTCAACAGGGCAAGGTCAAAAGTTAAGGCACTCTCCTATAAGTAAAACAAGAGACACACACACATACACAAAAATAAAAGCCACTAAACACTGCTACGGATTTATGACCCTTCCTGCACACTTCACTGCAAGATTACAAACCAAAACACACCAGCAACACCTTCACACAAACAAACCAAAATGGGACACTGACTATTGACAGGGGGGGAAAAAAAAAAAACAAACAAGAAAAAAAGCTTGGCTAGTCAACTACCACTGGCCAAACAGAACAAAACGCAAAAACAGTAATAAAAAAAAAATAAAATAATCACAGCTAGCATATCAGAACTAAAATAGTTTGTAAGACTGCCAGTGATAAATGTCGTTATGTCAGTAAACCAGGCAACAAGGACCACATCAAAAGTGCCCATTATTAGTAGGAAGCTTTCAATTATTTCCACTGGTTTAGGTACTTTTGTTTTTAAGAAAAAAGAAAAAAAAAAAGAAAAAGAGAGAGAAGAAGAGGCATCATCAGTCTCAGGGCAATACTACACAGACATCTCAAGCTTTCAGCCCAGTCCTGCGACCGACATTCCCAAGAAGGTTTTGAACTGTGTTCCCGGGGGATCCTGCCGGCGAGGTGCCCCCGGTCCCTGCGCCTCGGGGGAAGGTCCCAGCC